GTTAAGACGGTTGCAAATCATAGGAAAAAATACACCGTATGACTGCCAACCTAGTAACCTTGCAGCAAGTCAACCCGACGGGTGTGCACAACCCGATTTTCTCACTGGATCAGGGTATAAATGGGTCAACCAAAGGGTTGACAACCTTGCGTAACTTCCTTCATGCCCCTTGTTCCCTTCGCGAAACCCCCTATAGTTCCGGGCTTGGTGGACGTCTTATGGCCAAGGCTGTAAGTTACCCGATCATGCCGTAACTTTGAGCTCGGCAGAGAATAACGAGCTACGGCCCGAGATACGGCCTGAATTCACCCTGATCAAGCCATAACTCGGGTCATTTCTTTAAAAAGGGACTGTTGATCCGTCGTGTAGTGTAGACCAAATTTACATGGCCCTAAGGAAAGGATTGTATTCCCTTGGCCTCTCTAAATCCTTACTTTGGAAGCGACGTATGATTCTATTGAAGAAGAGGTTGGTTTTGGAGGTTGAGATTCCTCTAGTTTTGCAGAACTTGGTCATTTGAAACGTAAAGCAGATGCTAAAAATAAATCTAACCTACTGGAGAAGTAAGAGAGCAGGTACGGAAGGCATTGCATAGGAGTCGTTCGCCTAGGTTTCCTAACCACGTGCTCTCGATGATCGGAGCATACGAGTTGTCGATATCTTATTTTATTATATCCCACCTTGATGTGACATGTCTTTTGATCAAATGAGGTTCGATGGACTCGGACTGCTATTCTAAAAGCCCCATCCTAAAAGACTAGGATCTCGATCCTTGTATCTCAAAAGAGTACAAGGTCGACTAAGCATTCATTCGAATCAACAAATAACAAAATAGAGGAAATCAAGTATCATAGCTAGATATGGAAATCAAACAGTCATATTAACCAAATCATCGCGTTTACATGGCTAGAACCCCTAGGGCTTCAGCAAACACCCATCGACAATAGAGAGATACCAATGTGAAACACAAAGGAGACCTCTGACAACACCAATGAATTTCTCAGAGGAAGGACACTGGCAAAACTTACAAGACACGAGCCAAAAGTTGAAGGCAGCCCAACTGACGGGAGGAAGCACCTGGGAGATCAATGAGAAGCCCCATGTAGGCTGATCTCTACCTTCGAGCTCCATGAATCTGCAACCAAGGGAGGATCGCAATAGGATTCCCAAACTTCTCCAGAACACCTAGCCGAAGTGGTGAACCAAGGAGGAGAAACAAGCATGAAAGAGAAGGGGGATTGAGAAAATCTCAACCCCCTTTGTCAACCTACAAAACATCTCAATGTGCTTATCACAAAGATTAGACATGAGGTAGAAGAAGAGAACGCCTATCGCAAAGAAAAGGCGAGAAAAACTCCAAAGAGGAAGCTACAAAAAACAGAGAAAATCAGAAAGCAAATTGTATCCTGAAAAACAAGCATGGTGTCCGACCTGTTAGTCGAAATGTCATATGAATACAACATATTTACGTTGTGTATTCTAAAATTTTCAAATTATTTGAAAAGTATGTATGACACGAAGGTGACATTAGAATTATTTCTCAGTGTTTGAAATTATGATACCTTTTTATCATTAACCGTGTGTATCTTAATGGTCATAATACTCGTGAAAAACCATTCATGACCTATCTATTTAATAGTGCAATAATTTAATTTTGGGTTAATAGCATTTTGTACATCTCTGCTTTGACAAATTAACAAACGTATTCCTCTACTAAATTTTTGCACGAACATAATTTTCTAATATTAAATTGTTACAAGTTTACCCTTTCAACTAATTTTTCGTTAAGTGACCGTTAAGAGGGCTGGGAAATGACCCAATTGCCCTCGTTTACTATTAAAAACTCATTATTTTGTTTAATTATTTTATTATGTCCCATATCAATTAATTAAAATTTCAAATCCCTAAACTAATTCAGAAACAATTGGCCTGTCCGTCTCCCTTAAAATCTTCCTTGCGATCAGTGCCTTGACACATCGGCGGCTCCTGCTCCCGGCATCTCCACGCCGACGGTTGGAGTAGAGTGAAAGTGTTACGAGACGAGCTATCATAATAGTTCGGGCATATTCTGAGCTCATCTATTTAGTAGTTTATTAATTATTAAGTGTTTAGTTATTAATTGGGATATTATTATTATTGTTTCCTATTCTTGGTAGGATTGTTATTGTCTTTTTGTATTTGTTTAGGATTTGGTTGTGGTGTCCTTTAGGAGAAGGTTACATTCTATGGGTAGGACTAGGGCTGCAAATGAGCCAAGCCGCTCGCGAGCAACTTGGCGTTCGAATCGGAAAAAACTCGTTCGACACTCGACTCGTTATTTAACAAGCTGGCTCGCGAGCCAACTCGTTAGTTAACAAGCCAAGCTTGAGCTAGATCATGCTCAGCTTGATAAGCTCACGACTAGCTTGATTCAATGGCTTGTTGAGCTAAGCTCGCGGGGTGCCTTGTTTAGAGCTTGTGAAAGGATGAATTACTCTTTTAAACATGAACATTGTCTTGTTAATACAAATGTGTATGAAATTTAGATGTTATTTATAGTTTCTAGTGTTCTTTCTATCATTTAAATTCTTATGTTTACACATTTTTCCATCAAGAATGATTTTAAATCGAGCTCATCTTGAGCCGAGCTTGTACTCAGCTTGACAAGCTATGTTAATGAGCATTTATCAAGCTCTACCGAGTCGAGCTCGAGCTAGATGATTTTTATTCAAGCCGAGCTCGAGCTCGAGCTGGATTATCAAAATTCGAGTTCGAGCCGAGTTCGAGCTAAAAAATTAATAAACGAGCCGAGCTCAAGCTAAGCAAAAACTCGACTCGACTCGGCTAGTTTGCAGCCCTATGTAGGACTGAGGAAGAGTGGACGGAAACCGTAAGGAAGAAGGAGAGGATTTTGTGCCTATAAATATGTAATGTCCCATTCGTTTAATGGTATGAAGAAGATTGGAACCCAAGTCTAGTTTATTGTAGGGGTGGCAATCGGTCGGTTTTGGTTTAACCGAAAACCGATTTCTCGGTTATCGGTTAAACCGAGCCACCACTTGCTGTTGCCGACAACCGACCGGGGAGGAACCCACGGCTACCGACCACCGACCGAAAAACACCCCTTCTCTCGAAAAAAATCATTAAAAATTATTATAAAAAAATAAACAAAAAGCCACAACCACTCAATCCTTATCTCCTTTCTCCTTCTCTCCCATTCCTTCTTCCAAGAAAACACCACCAGACCCCTTCCTCCCACAACGACCCCACTAGACCCCGTCCTCCTCTCTCCTTCCTTCCTCCCAAGAAAACCCCACCAGACCCCTTCCTCCTCTCTCCTTCCTTCCTCCCAAAAAAACCCTACCGCCACCAGACCCCTTCCTCCTCTCTCCTTCCTTCCTCCCAAAAAAACCCCACCGCCACCAGACCCCTTCCTCCTCCTCTCTCCTTCCTTCCTCCATTTCCAAATTAAAACCCACCACATCTGCACAACGACGACACGAAGGAGAAGCAGAGGCGAACGTCGGGGTAGGGCCGGGAGGTGAGCGGCGACGTCTCCGGCGCAGGAGAGGCGGCAAAGGCAGATGGATGGATAGATCTGTCTGCTGCCTGACTGCCTTTGCTCTATCTGCTGGCTCGACGGAGGACGGGGATGGCGAGGAGAAGCGGGGAGGCGTGGGGTCGTCGGGGATGCAGATGGCGATGTCGGAGCGGAAGAAGAAGAAAGAACGAGGGAGATGGTGATGGAAGAAGAAGAAGAAAGAAATCTTAGGGAAGGGTTTGGAAGGTTGGCTCGGCTTTGGAGGAGGATGAAGAAGAAAGAATTAGGGAGAAGGCCAGGAGGCTGGGCTGGGCTTTGGGTTGGGTTTTGGGTGGCTGGTCGGTTATTTTTTGTTAGTCGGGTAACCGCGCTTAATCACCATCGGTTTCTCGGTAGCCGAAAAACCACCTTTCTTCCACCGACCACCGACCGAGGTAAATAACCGTCGGTTTTCGGTTAGGTGCTAACCGGCAGTTATCGGCTAAACTGGCCGGTTAGCCGCTAACCGGAAACCGAATTGCCACCCCAAGTTTATTGTCTTTCGTTTTATCGCAATTTATCGCGTTTTATCGTAGTTTGTTAGTTTTATAACAAGGAGGTTACGAGTCAAGAATCTTCAATTCTGTGTCTCGTAACAGAAAGGTGCGATATGCGAGACCAGACGACCATCTTCTCGGATCCCCGCAACGTTCATGTGAGGTTCAGAGGCCGTCTATTTCTCCCTTCGAGCACACAGCAGGGCCCTAGCTTCCCGGCCTTTCCACACTACCGCCAGCTTCCCGGCTTCTCCTGCGACGTTCCAACGCCAGATTCCCCCGTCGATCCATTTACTCGGCTGCCACACCTTTACTTTGCTTCTCCTGTCGACGCCAGCTTCCCGTTGTTCCAACTCCATCCGTTTCTTGTACGCTCTCCTTTTGATGTTCATATAGTGGTTTTTTCGTTCTATTCCTTACAATGACTCAGAATGTCCAGTTGATGGTTTGATTTGGGAAAGTAGATATATGATTCGTAGTTGGTCTAGTAACTACTTCAATTGTACAGAAGATGAAACTAAATATTAAATAATGCATTTCCAAGTTTTATAGAATCAGGGAGTAGTTCACACTTGCTCTGTTTTTTGGTTTATGGGATTTGCCTTTCTGGGGACAAACATGGGTATTCTGATATTAATTCTAACCAATACAATAGAGATTCGCTGATGTGGGGAAGAGGTCGACACTCTGTTACGTGCACTTTTTGGAGAATAGAATTTAGGGTGATTGGGATAGGAAGAATAAGAATTCGAGGAAAGATTGATAGAATGGTATAAGAGAAGTGTTCTCCTTAATGGCGAGAACAGAACCCCTAAGCTTTTTCGAGGAAAGCCAACCTCCCAAATTAACACGTAGGTGTGTAAAACCCTTTTCTTGATTAAACTTGATTGATTCCCCTCATTTATCCATCTACTACTTTAAATAGAGAATGGAACTCTAATAATCCTACAACTAATGAACTTAACGGGTAAACACCTATATTTAAGCTAAAACCCCTTGGTTCTAGGTAACCACTAACCCACTAATCATCCCAACTAACTCACGTCTAACAATTCATAATATTTAATCCTAATTTTAATTAACAATTGATAAAACCAATTAAATAAAAACTAATTAAAGCACATGACATTCCATCCCCCTTAGAAAGGATTCTTGACCACAAGAATCAGCCATGTTTTGCACGTCTTCTTCAACCTGGGTCTCCATAGAGAATGAGCCACCACCATAGGGACCTTCTGCCGAACTTTTCTTCTTGCAACCAAGGACCTCTTTCTTCCAATAATGAAATTGGTTGGCCTCTGAACACATGGTGACGGCCCCAAAGAGAAGCCTCCAGGGGAACATGATTGGTTGTGGTGTTTCCTCGCTCTGGATAATCATCAAGCTTCTCAGTAGCCTTTTGTTCATTTGCCATTTCTATTTTTGGGACAATGATCAGCTCGCAAGCAGCGCCTTTGCTACTTGTTTCGTGCTCTGGGTGTAGCTTCTCTTGGTTTTCTTGAGATTGAGAACGAACCAGAGTTGAATGACCATTGCCATTGCCCATTGAAATCTTATCCTCGGAGTCGGAGGCTGCCACTTCATGAAGCTTTTTCACGTCACGTAGAGAGCAAGAAGGAGTGTCGTCATTCTTTCTTCAAACCTGAGGAGATCATCCTTTAACCTTAGCAACCCCTCCTTGAAACTATCTTGTTGCGCAGCTTTGGAAGCCATGGCTCTGATACCAAATGTTATGCGCACGTTTTGTAGAATATGATTTAGGGGGAAAGATCGGAATAGAAAGAAGAAGATGGGAGGAAAGATAGATAGATTGAGAAGAAGAGAAGTGTTCTCCTTAATGGCGAGAACGGAACTCCAAAGCTTTTTCGAGGAAAGCCAACCTCCCAAATTAGCACGTAGGTGTGTAAAACCCTTTTCTTGATTAAACTTGATTGATTCCCCTCATTTATCCATCTACTACTTTAAGGGACCGGTTATTGTAACAACACCCATTGTGTTGTTATTGTAACAACACTAGTCCCCAACCAATAGGAAGCTAGGATTGTGATGACTTTTTATTACATGAGTTGACCTAGTGTGAAATCAAAGCAGGGGTATAATTGTCATTATGAAAAATCTATTTAAATAAAAATAAAAAATAAAAAAAATATTTTTTTATTTTCTGCCCAAAAATCTGGTCGTCGAAATTCTGCCACCGGTCACCGGAAAATGGTCGCCGGTCACCCGAATATGCTTTTTGTCGCCGGAATATGCTTACCGGCGTCGGAATCTAGTCACCGGGGCCGGAATATGCCTATCGGCGTCGGAATCTGCTCACTAACGGTCACCGGAGTTCGGTCAACGGTCTTCGTGCATTGTGAGATTTATGGTTTGGTTTCTCATATTTTTTTATGCCTTTTATGGTTTGTTTTATTGTGTTTGTGGTTTGCATTGAGAAGTTTCTGGTTTGTTTTCAAAAACTTTGTGGTTTGTATTGAGGGGTTTCTGGTTTGTTTTAGGAGATTTGTGGTTTGCATTAGGACGTTTATGGTTTGCATTAGGAGGTTTTTGGTGTGCTTTCGCAAATGTTGTGGTTTGCTTTGTGAGGTTTGTGGTTTGTTTTAGGAGATTTGTGGTATACATTAGGAGGTTTCTGGTTTGCATTAAGAAGTTTCTGGTGTGCTTTCGAAACTTTTGTGGTTTGCTTTGCGAGATTTCTGGTTTGTTTTAATATATTTGTGGTCTGCATTAGGACGTTTTTGGTTTGCTTCACCGTGTTTGTGGTTTGTATTAGGGGGTTTCTGGTGTGCTTTAGAAATATTTATGGTTTGTTTTACCGTGTTTCTGGTATGTTTTAGTCAATTTATGATATGTATTAGGAGGTTTCTGGTATGCTTTCGAAATAATTGTGGTATGCTTTGTAAGGTTTGTTATTCTATCCGACGTTCTTACTAGATGAATGGAGTTAGTAACAATAATGTATGATATGAATTAGGAGGTTTGTTATTCAATTGTCATCAAGTCATCGCCCGTTGACGGGGACTCCTAATCTAATGCTCGCGGACGCTTAGCTTGTAGCTCCTAGCTGCATTTACACTGCTGCTATCCGAAAATTTGCATCATCAATGGCTGCAGCCTGCAGGAGTATCAACAGCAGTTGTGAACACAATCCTCGTCAGCTTGGGATGCTACCTGGTCTTGTTAGCAAGGCCCTGTCCCCAGAAATCCACTCTGCTACAGGAGCAAAAATTTGATGGTGGGGAAGATGGACAAGTAGAACTATTTTCGTCAGAAAATGGGATATTCAAGCTTCAGTTCGACTATGTTAGCCCGTTGGGTAACTTCTCCAACCTTTACCTGGGGATATGGTACAATCTTCGGCCTCCTCCCTTCCCGTTCTCTGATAACACTGTCGTTGAAATCCTTCGCGAACCAATCTTCGACAGAGCCGAAATTACCGTCCAGGACAACGATTTTAATCTTGATGGAAGACAGCGGACCCGACGTGACGATTGTATTGGACGCGGCATCGAGGAGCACGATCCAGATCCGAGAAGAAACTCCGACATGCTCGGCGGCAGCGGCCTCAATCCAGAACCGGCGCCGTCGTCGTAATACAACTCGAATCCACGGCCTTCGCCTCCTCCGCTCTCGCCGCCGTTGCCGGTACTGGTGAAGCTATTCCCACTCTGGCTCCCACTGTCCGCTCTGCCGCGGAGCACGATGACCGGATTAATCGGCGATCTGTCCCCTCCTCCTCCACCGTTCCGCCTTCCACCGATTCCTCCCCAGACCCCGCCTCTTCTCTGCTCCGGCCTGAACATAGCAGCAGGGAATCCCCGGCGGTGGGGGCGCGTCTCCATCGGTGTCATCTGAACCAGTGCTGCGATGGGCAGAGTCGCACGAAAACCTGTGAGAGAGAAGGGTACGGGTGGGGTAATGAATCATTTAATTTAATTTTTAATTTATTATTTTTTGTGATTTTCCGTTTTTACCCCTGTTGTTACTCTAACAACACTATGAGTGTTGTTATAGTATCCGGACCCCTACTTTAAATAGAGAATGGAACTCTAATAATCCTACAACTAATGAACATAACGGGTAAACACCTATATTTAAGCTAAAACCCCTTGGTTCTAGGTAACCACTAACCCACTAATCATCCCAACTAACTCACGTCTAACAATTCATAATATTTAATCCTAATTCTAATTAACAATTGATAAAACCAATTAAATAAAAACTAATTAAAGCACATGACATTCCATCCCCCTTAGAAAGGATTCTTGACCACAAGAATCAGCCATGTTTTGCACGTCTTCTTCAACCTGGGTCTCCATAGAGAATGAACCACCAACATAGGGACCTTCTGCCGAACTTTTCTTCTTGCAACCAAGGACCTCTTTCTTCCAATGATGAAAATGGTTGGCCTCTGAACACATGGTGACGGCCCCAAAGAGAAGCCTCCAGGGGAACATGATTGGTTGTGGTGTTTCCTCGCTCTGGATAATCATCGAGCTTCTCAGTAGCCTTTTGTTTATTTGCCATTTCTATTTTTGGGACAATGATCAGCTCGCAAGCAGCACCTTTGCTACTTGTTTCGTGCTCTGGGTGTAGCTTCTCTTGGTTTTCTTGAGATTGAGAACGAACCAGAGTTGAATGACCATTGCCATTGCCCATTGAAATCTTATCCTCGGAGTCGGAGGCTGCCACTTCATGAAGCTTTTTCACGTCACGTAGAGAAGCAAGAAGGAGTGTCGTCATTCTTTCTTCAAACCTGAGGAGATCATCCTTTAACCTTAGCAACCCCTCCTTGAAACTATCTTGTTGCGCAGCTTTGGAAGCCATGGCTCTAATACCAAATGTTATGTGCACGTTTTGTAGAATACGATTTAGGGAGAAAGATCGGAATAGAAAGAAGAAGATTGGAGGAAAGATAGATAGATTGAGAAGAAGAGAAGTGTTCTCCTTAATGGCGAGAACGGAACTCCTAAGCTTTTTCGAGGAAAGCCAACCTCCCAAATTAACACGTTGGTGTGTAAAACCCTTTTCTTGATTAAACTTGATTGATTCCCCTCATTTATCCATCTACTACTTTAAATAGAGAATGGAACTCTAATAATCCTACAACTAATGAACTTAACGGGTAAACACCTATATTTAAGCTAAAACCCCTTGGTTCTAGGTAACCACTAACCCACTAATCATCCCAACTAACTCACGTCTAACAATTCATAATATTTAATCGTAATTCCAATTAACAATTCATAAAACCAATTAAATAAAAACTAATTAAAGCACATGACAGAAAGATTGATAGATTGGAAGAAGAGAAGTGTTCTCCTTAATGGCGAGAACGGAACCCCTAAGCTTTTTCGAGGAAAGCCAACCTCCCAAATTAACACGTAGGTGTGTAAAACCCTTTTCTTGGTTATACTTCATTGATTCCCTAATTCTATCTATCTGCTACCTTAAATAGAGAAGTAAACCCAATCCCCTCTAATCCAACGTAAAAGACCTAACAACTAACCCACTATTTACCCACTACTTCACGTCATTAACCCACCCTTAACAACCCATAATTAATTAATAATACTAATTAAATATATGCACATGACATTCCATCCCCCTTAAACGATTCTTGACCACAAGAATCAGCCATGAAATTCGTCTTCTTTAATCCGGGTCTCCATAACTCGTGAGCAACCATAACCGCAATGCTAGGCCACCGCCTTTGACAACCTGTGCTTCCCACCACAAATGATTTCCCATCAGATAATTAGTCTCTTTTGGCGCAAACACGAATCTTAAACTTTTCCTGCATCTCACTGAACGTAGAGGGATAGTGGGGAGATTAAGCCACACATGTGAATTTGCATTCTTGTCCCATGCCATGCTATGCTTCTTTGAAGCGGAGTTCAAGGCGGCTATTTGCATTGGTCGTACCAGTGGCTTCTTGAAGGACTTGACCTCTCTTTTCTTGCTATGTTTATGAAGATCAGTTGGTTTGAGCAGCTTTTGTGTTTCATCGCCAACATCGACCTCTTCCTTGAGAACTTGAGGGCAATTGATTTTGGGCTTCATTGGGTTGTCGGTTCCTAACCCATTGGCAGTGGCTCCATTGACGAGCTTTCCAATCGCTTTTTGTCCCTCTGCCTTGTTGATTTTTTTGAACAACGGGTTCGTCAGCAACTCTTGTGTTAGCAGTTGCGTATTCTTGGTGTCGCTCCTCTCGACTTGCCCGAGACCAAAATGGATCCACAGCTGAATGACCATTGACATTGTTCTTTGAAATCTTGTTCTCGGAAGCGGCCACTTCACTAAGCCTTTCCACGTTTGTTGTAAATTTACCGATTTCCAAATGAGGATCTGCAGCCATCTCCCGTCGTCGTTCGAGAAATCGATCAAACCTTGCGATTAGGGCCGCAAAATTCCCTCGCATCTCCTGCCTCAACCTTGCGGTCTCTTGTGCCATCTCCTCCAGCAAAGAATCAAGTGGTTTTTCACGAACCATCATTGTTGTAGGATTGGGAGGCTCTGATACCAAATGTTACAATCCCCTCTAATCCAACGTAAAAGACCTAACACTAATTATTCCTTCCTTAATTCTAGCTAACAACTAACCCACTATTTACCCACTACTTCACGTCATTAACCCACCCTTAACAACCCATAATTAATTAATAATACTAATTAAATATATGCACATGACATTTTCCTCCATTCTCTTCTTCCTATCCCAATCTTTCACCCTAAATTCTATTCTCCGAAAAGGGCACGTAACACACTCCTTCAATAGAGAGCCGCTGATGAAGGCCAAATTCCTCTGCTTCAGGGACGCCAGGGAGAAGAGAGGAAGACAAGTTCGTCGAGTGTGCAATTGGTTCAGGGACACTGGGGAACCGTGCTTTTGTTCCTTTTCTAATTATTTTTTTGTTTTTTAATTAATTGATTTTGGATATAAATAATAAAATAATTAAAATTAAAACTGAAATTAGGAGTAAAGGGGTTATTCAGTCATTTCCCAACCCATTTAAGGGTCACCTAACTGAAAATTATATGCAAGAATAAACTTGTTACAATTTAATATTAGAAGGGTATGTTTGTGCAAAAATTTAGTAGAGGGGTGCGTTGGTTAATTTGTCAAAGTAGAGGGGTACAAAATGCTATTAACTCTTTAATTTTCTATAGTTGAAAAGAAAATTGACATAATAAAAAAATTTGTCTCAAAAACATAATAAAAGTAAGAAACACATATCCTTTGGCAGTGTTTGTTATATACAATGCAATACCAAAATTAATAAGAAAATATCCAATTAGTTCATATTAAAACAAATAACTCGAAATGATACATATAGTTAATTGCTCTATAAAACAAAAGAACTAAATAATTGAAATAGTACAAAATTAGTTTTCTGAAATTGTGTTATGTTAAACTCACTTATGGGCCCCATCACGTCGGATTATCAAGAGATTTAAGGGGTTAACCGAATTGAAATTTTCAAAGGACTGGTCACTTATAGTTTGCAAAAATATATCGATGTTTTATGATAGCTAAAAAGTAATAATAAGTTAAAATTCTACATCACGCCCTAGGTTCGAACGTTGAGACAAACAACCAACAAAAAAAATTAATAATATGTTAAGAATTCTAGATATCACTTCTCCAATTCAATACACTATATTCGTTCTAATGGTATTTGGGTTATGATTTTAAAATTATACTATATTTATAAAATAAAAATAAATTAAGTTAATTATTAAAATTGAATTAAAATAATAAAAATATGAAAATTGAATATCAAACACCAAAGAAATAGTTATGAGAAAGTTAGTGGGATAGATCACTGTAGTGGTAAAGTCATTTGATTTTCATATTTCAGTTTTTTTTTTTTTGTTAAGGATGATATATATTATTAAGAGAGAAAAAAATAACAAACGAAAGCAGGGTGGCACAGGCAAGTTCACAGAAAGAGGCAAAAACAGGGGGGGGGGGGGGAAGGCAAAGGTCAAAGGAGGAAACAGACTCGCCACACCCCTGTTCCAAACATCAGAAGGCTGCCAACAGCAAAGGAAAATGAGAAAAGCACCTCCCCTTCCAATCGACAATTCGGACAAGAAAACGCGAATGAAGAGAAAACAGGGAAAAACCACAGGGACATGGAGCAAGGATATACAAAGTAACAGAGAAGAGGACGTCAGGAAGCAGCATTCACTCGAATGGTTAAGACGACAGCAATCACCGGAAGCAAATGCCCAAAAAAAGGTTCACTGGTCCACCATGGGAGGCTGCGCTCCCAAAGTCAAGGGCTGTTGCGAATTCTCTGGACACAAACTGGCCTTCATCCCATTGATCCAACTCTCTGCAATCCCTTTATCCACCTTTCCTGCTACCGTCAACCACTAGAAAATATCGTGCCCGATCTTCAAAACAAGTGAAGGAATATGCCGCTCATCATCCTTGAACATTCGGGCGTTTCTTTCTAGCCAGACACGCCAGCAGAAGGCATGTAAAGCCACTCTAGTGCACCACTGGGCTGGGTTAGTCGGATTCCCATGCGACCAAAGCCGGATTCTATCAGAAATATCAAGAGCCTCATCAGCACTTCCCTCAACTTTAACGAAGCGCTTCAATCTGCTCCAAACCTGATTTGAGAAAGCGCAGGTGATGAAGATGTGATTCGAGGACTCTTCTTCTCTCTTGCAAAGGGCACACCTATTAGGAATCAGGAAACCCTTCTTCTTCAAGTTGTCGATGGTGAGGATTCGTTTGTGGAAGACCAGCCATAAAAATATGCATATCTTGCTCGGCGCAGTGCTCTGCCAAATCACCTTCGAGGGAAACTCCGCAATTCCCACAGCGCGTGCAGCGGCTAAATGTTCAAATGCTGAGTGAACACTAAAACCAGCTGTAGGGGATGGAAGCCATCTTGGTCTTTCAGGTCCTGCAAGAAAATTCTGAGAAGGAATGGAAAGAAGTAAGTCAAATAATCTCACTCGCTCTCTCTCAGCCCCGCCCCGTAATGAATAAATCAATGGAATATTCCATTGACAGTTTCCCTCAGAAAAAGAAAGGTAGTCGGCGATGGTGGAATGTGGGGATTCAGCAGCAGCAAAAACTCTTGGGAATTCCTCAACCAGCCGGACGCCCTTAATCCAGGTGTCAAACCAGAAAGAGGTCCAGAAGCCTTGACCATGCTCAATGCAAGTGAAATTCCAGAAATCAGCCTGTAGCTTCATGATCTTGATCCAGGGACTTCCACCAGCACTGCCCGGCAATACTCCTGAGAACCACTCTGAGTGGAAATTAGGAAATTTGGTGTCAATGATCTCCCTCCACCACGTTCCCCTTTCAGTCGCAAATCTCCAATGCCATTTAAGAAGGAGAGCACGGTTATTAATCTCCAGATCACGGATACCCAATCCTCCCCTGTTCTTGGCAGTTTTGCAAAGATCCCAAGATACGAGATGAAGCCTCTCCCTTTCCTGA